ACTAGTGCACCTATACAATTTACCATTGTATTGGGTGTGTTGGGGACACAAGAGACTCTTTGTTATTTGGTTGTAGGGTTGTTTGAGAGAGACCATCTTCATCCTACGCCTCCCACGGATTGATAAACCTTAGGTCATCCACTTGAGGGAAATTTGCTACTGTCCTACAAACCTCTGCACTTGGTGGCCCAACAACATCTACAAGAAGAAGGTTGTGTAGTAGACATCACCTTCCAATATATCGATCTTTACGTCTCGACCATTTCGAGACTCCTTGTCATGTCCCCGATCTCATCCAGGACTTCGAACAAACTTCGATCATCAAATCACATAACTCATGATACAAATCGTCACAGAACGTTAAGCGTGCGGACCCTACGGGTTCGGGAACTATGTAGACATGAACGAGACTCATCTCCGGTCAATAACCAATAGTAGAACCTGGATGCTCATATTGGTTCCTACATATTCTATGAAGATCTTTATCGGTCAAACCGCATAACAACATACGTTGTTCCCTTTGTCATCGGTATGTTACTTGCCCGAGATTCGATCGTCGGTATCTCAATACCTAGTTCAATCTCATAGTCATAGGAACATGTATAAGTCATGAAGAAAGCAGAAGCAATATACTAAACGATCAAATGCTAAGCTAACGGAACGGGTCAAGTCAATCACATCATTCTCTAATGATGTGCTCCCATTAATCAAATGACAACTCATGTCCATGGCTAGGAAGCTTAACCATCTTTGATTCAACGAGCTAGTCAAGTAGAGGCATACTAGTGACACTCTGTTTGTCTATGTATTCACACATGTTCTAAGTTTCCAGTTAATACAATTCTAGCATGAACAATAAACATTTATTATGATATAAGGAAATATAAATAACAACTTTATTATTGCCTCTAGGGCATATTTCCTTCATTACTATCTACAAAGCTCGACTTGTCGCAAAAGGTTTTCAACAAGTGCAAGGTGTTGACTACAATGAGATTTTCTCGACTGTAGCGATGCTTAAATCCGTCCAAATCATGTTAGCAGTTGCCATATTTTATGAAATCTAGTAGATGGATGTCAAAACTGCATTCCTGAATGGATTTCTGGAAGAAGAGTTGTATATGATGCAACTAGAAGGTTTTGTCGATCCAAAGGGTGCTAACAAAGTGTGCAAGCTCCATCGATCCATTTATGGACTGGTGCAAGCCTCTCGGAGTTGGAATAAACGCTTTGATAGTGTGATCAAAGCATATGGTTTTATACAGACTTTTGGAGAAGCATGTATTTACAAGAAAGTGAGTGGGAGCTTTGTAAGCATTTCTAATATTATATGTGGATGACATATTGTTGATTGGAAATGATATATAATTTCTGGATAGCATAAAGGGATACTTGAATAAGAGTTTTTTTTTAGTGAAAGACCTCGGTGAAGCTGCTTACATATTGGGCATCAAGATCTATAAATAGATCAAGACGCTTGATAAGATTTTTCAGTGAGTAAATACCTTGACAAGTTTTTGAAAGAGTTCAAAATGGATCAGTCAAAGAAGAAGTTCTTGTCTGTAATGCAAGGTGTAAAGTTGAGTAAGACTCAAAGCCCGACCATGGTAGAAAATAGAAAGAGAATGAAAGTCATTCCTATGCCACAATCATAGTTTCTATAAAGTATGTTGTGCTGTGTACCAGACCTATTATGTACCCTGCCCTGAGATTGGCAAGGGAGTACAATTTTGATCTAGGAGTAGATCACTAGACAACAGTCAAGATTATCCTTAGTGAGGACTAAGGAAATATTTCTAGATTATGGAGGTGATAAAAGAGCTCGTCATAAAGAGTTACATCGATGCAAGCTTTTACACCAATCCAGATGACTCTAAGTCTCAATCTGGATACATGTTGAAAGTGTGAGCAATTAGCTAGAGTAGCTCCGTGCAGAGCATTGTAGACATAGAATATTTGCAAAATACATACGGCTCTAAATGTGACAGAACCGTTGACTAAACTTCTCTCACGAGCAAAACATGATCACACCTTAGTACTCTTTGGGTGTTAATCACATAGCAATGTGAACTATATTATTGACTCTAGTAAAGCCCTTTGGGTGTTGGTCACACGACGATGCGAACTATGGGTTAATCACACACATATGTGAATATTGGTGTTAAATCACATGGTGATGTGAACTAGATTATTGACTCTAGTGCAAGTGGGAGACTGAAGGAAATATGCCCTAGAGGCAATAATAAAGTTATTATTTATTTCCTTAATTCATGATAAATGTTTATTATTCATGCTAGAATTGTATTAACCGGAAACTTAGTACATGTGTGAATACATAGACAAAACTTATAGTCCCTAGTATGCCTCTACTTGACTAGCTCGTTAATCAAAGATGGTTATGTTTCCTAACCATAAACATGTGTTGTCATTTGATGAACAGGATCACATCATTAGGAGAATGATATGATGGACACGACCCATTCGTTAGCTTAGCATTATGGCCATGTCAGTTTCATTGCTACTGCTTTCTTCATGACTTATACAAGTTCCTCATACTATGAGATTATGCAACTCCCGAATACCAGAGGAACACTTTGTGTGCTACCAAACGTCACAACGTAAAAGGGTGATTATAAAGGTGCTCTACAGGTGTCTCTGAAGGTGTTTGTTGGGTTGGCATATATCGAGATTAGGATTTGTCACTCCGTGTTTCGGAGAGGTATCTCTGGGCCCTCTCGGTAATACTCATCACTATGTAACTAATGAGTTAGTTGCGGGATGAAGTATTACAGAATGAGTAAAAAGACTTGCTGGTAACGAGATTGAACTAGGTACAATGATACCAACGATCAAATCTCGGGTAAGTAACATACCGATGACAAAGGGAACAACGTATGTTGTTATGCGGTTTGACCGATAAAGATCTTCGTAGAATATGTAGGAACCAATATGAGCATCCAGGTTCCGCTATTGGTTATTGACCGAAGACGTGTCTCGGTCATGTCTACATAGTTCTCAAACCCGTAGGATCCGCACGCTTAACGTTCGATGACGATTGGTATTATGAGTTTATGTGATATGATGTACCGAAGTTTGTTCGGAGTCCCAGATGAGATCATGGATGTGACGAGGAGTCTCGAAATGGCCGAGACATAAAGATTCATACATTGGAAGGTTGCATTTGGACATCGGAATGGTTCCGAGTGGTTCGGGCATTTTCCCGGAGTACCGGGAGGCTACCGGACCCCCCCCCCCCCGGGGAGAAGTTATGGGCCTTATGGGCCATAAGAGGGAAGCACACCAGCCCACAAGGGGCTGGTGCACCCACCTTTGGGCAGGAGGCCGAATTGGACTTGGGAAGGGGGCGCCACCCCCCTTTCCTTCTCCTTCTCCTCCTCCCTCTCCTTCCCCTTTTCCCCCTCCGGTAGAAGGAAAAAAAAGGTGGGGCTGAATCCTACTAGGACTGGAGTCCTAGTAGGACTCCCCTCTCCCTGGCGCGCCCCTTTTTGGCCGGCCTCCTCCTCCCCTCCTTTATATACGGGGGCATGGGGGCACCCCAAAGGGACAACATACAATTGTTTTAGCCGTGTGCGGTGGCCCCCTCCACAGTTACACACCTCGGCCATATCATCGTAGTGCTTAGGCGAAGCCCTGTGCTGGTGACTTCATCATCACCGTCACCACGCCGTTGTGCTGATGAAACTCTCCTTCGACCTCAGCTGGTTCTAGAGTTCATGGGACGTCACCGAGTTGAACGTGTGCAGATCGCAGAGGTGCCGTACCTTCGGTGCTAGGATCGGTCGGATCGTGAAGACGTACGACTACATCAACCGCGTTGTCATAACGCTTCCGCTTTCGGTCTACGAGGGTACGTAGACAACACTCTCCCCTCTCGTTGCTATGCATCACGTAGATAGATCTTGCGTGACCGTAGGGATTTTTTTTTTTGAAATTACTACGTTCCCCAACATAATTTTGATCTAGTTGATCTAAAAAAATTCTGATATAGTTGGATGCATACCACCCACACAATTCTCTTTTTGGTGGAAAACCTTTCAATCTATTCATCAATAGTCGTGGAAGTACGAAGAACGCTAGAAGGAACAAGAACTACATCCAACTCAGCAGGCCACCTAGCGATGACTACAAGCACTGGAACGAGCCGAAGGTGCGCTGCCCTCATCGCCCTTCCCTTACCAAAGCCGACCAAACCTTGTTGTAGTAGACGGTCGTGAAGCCGTCGCGCTAAGGCCTCATAGAACCAACGCACCAGAACAACAACTGTTACCACCGAATAGGCGTGTAAACGGAAAGTATCAGCATGTAGACACATGAACATGGATGGACGAAGATCGGGCCCAAATAGATTCAACAAAGACAAACGCCGATCGAAACCACAAAATCCACTGGAGACACACCTGCACGCACCCTCCGACGACACTAGATGCACGTGGGGACGGAGGCTAAGCGGGGAGAATCTTATTCCATCTTCAAGGAGCCGTCATCGTCGGGCCTTCCTGAACATGACACAAACCCTAAACGAACAGAAAAAGACACCTAAAAACGGAGCAGGGGCTCTCCCTCGACAAGGGCCCAGATCCACCGCACCTCCATGGCCTAAGGCGAGAGAGACATGGCAGACCTGCGGCGCCGCCGGCAAGAGGTGAGAAACCCCAATTGTCGGGGCGCGCCAACTCTCAATATACATTTTTCTTTTGAGAATCTCTCAACATACACCTGATAGACATACACACATCGAAGAAACTCTCAAAACTTCTGTCAATGTTCATGGACCACAGTCCCTTCCGCGAAAGATGCAAGAAAAAAAAAACCATCACCCTCGAACACGAATATTAAAGCACAATCCAACGGCTGAGGCCCATGGCAGCAGTCCTTTAAAAATCCCTACCCCATAAACCCTAGAAACGAGCAGCCATCCTCCCAAACCGCAGGAAAACCCCTCCCGTCTTCCCCCCTCTCCCGCCCCCACACCCCTCCCCATGGCGTCTCCCCCCAACGGCGCCGCCGCCGCCGCCGCCGCCTCCTCGGCCGCCGGGGGCGCGCCCCCCGTCGACAAGGAGGTCGACTTCGCCAACTACTTCTGCACCTACGCCTACCTCTACCACCAGAAGGAGATGCTCTGCGACCGCGTCCGCATGGACGCCTACCACTCCGCCGTCTTCCGCAACCCCCACCACTTCCGCGGCAAGGTGAGAAAACAAACGGCCCCTCCCCGCTCCCCCGTCCCCGCGAATCGCCGGAGGTCCGAGGTTTGCTGTAATTTGGGGCTCCGGCTTGATTGATTTGGCGGATCTGTCAGGTGGTTCTTGATGTCGGCACCGGGAGCGGCATCCTCGCCATCTGGAGCGCTCAGGCCGGCGCCAGGAAGGTGTACGCCGTCGAGGCCACCAACGTGGCGGAGCACGCCCGCGAGCTCGTCCGCGCCAACGGGGTCGCCGACATCGTCGAGGTCATTCAGGGGACCATGGAGGACATTGTGCTGCCGGAGAAAGGCGAGTCTTTTCGTTTCCTGAATCCCTCTTTCATTATTTCGTTCCCGAATGGATGCCAAACATTTGAAAGTACTGGTCTTGGCTGGTGGAGTGATATCCCAGCGATATTGTTAACAACAACAAGGCCAAGTCTTTCTTCTTTGAAAGGGGATTTTTTTAGTCTTATCAGAATATGGAAGCTATGATGTATATTGAGTATTGATCAGTTTGTTATGTCTATTGTTTCTGGAACTGCAGTTGATGTCATTATCTCTGAGTGGATGGGCTACTATCTCTTGAGAGAGTCCATGTTTGATTCCGTCATATGCGCACGTGACCGTTGGTTGAATCCAGGTGGTGTAATGTGAGTAAAGAGAAGCATTCTTGAATTCTAATGCTTTGGAATTTTCTTACCCAGAACTGTGATTGTTATATGCAGCCTGATCAAATAATCTGCAAATCAAGTTAAATTAACAAACACACAATCTAAATGCTTTGTTTCTGAAAGATAGCAATCTAGACCCTTCTGATTTTGTTGTCTGCACAAATAAAACACAGATGTACCTAATGCGGGATCAATCCGTTGCAGGTATCCTAGTCATGCTCGGATGTGGTTAGCACCAATAAGAAGTGGTTTGGGTGACAAAAAGATGGAAGACTTTGAGATTGCTATGAATGACTGGAATCATTTTGTTGAGGACACCCAGGCTTATTATGGGGTCAACATGAATGCCTTGACAAAGGCATATCGTGCAGAACACGAGAAGTTCTATCTCAAGGTATGTCTCGGTACAAAGGCATCATATTTTTGTTGTTTTGTTGGATTGGCATGCTTTCGGTCTGAAAAATGTGATACAATCATACAAACAGAAATCTTATAATGGTATTTTTTGGAGTATGTACTAACAAATTATATTCATAAAAATAGACAAAACCTTGTCAAAATTTCTGGTAGTTCTTTTTCTCAAGTAACTCCAGTCCTGAGATGTAAATTTTAGTTTTTTTTGGGAGCTTATAAACGGCTTGCATGTAAATATAGGCCTGTAACTCTTTAAGTCTAATATACTCTGTATTTCACAATTAATCACTACATACTTCAAGTAATGATCCTCAGTTCTTTTTACGAGACATTTCTCACTATCATAACCATTCTTTCTATTCTTCTGCAGTCTTCAATTTGGAACAATCTTCATCCAAACCAACTTATAGGGCAACCTGCTGTCGTCAAGGAGATGGATTGCTTGACAGCAACCGTTGAAGAGATTCGAGAAGTTAGAGCACAAGTTACATTGCCAATCAACCAGGATAGAACAAGGCTAGCTGCATTGGCTGGGTGGTTCGATGTTCACTTTAGGGTATGTCTAGCTGAATTATTTCACAGATCTCTCATGTTTTACACAATGGAAGACACTCACTATTTTCCACTTTCAGGGTAGCAAGCAAAACCCTGCAGTTGAGGAAGTTGAATTGAATACAGCCCCAGATGAGAATGGCGGGACACACTGGGGCCAGCAGGTTGGTTTTCTAGAATATATAGCAGTATTTATTTCTGTTGTTGCAGAATTTTTTACCAGCTATAGCTTATATGGTATAAAATGCCACATCTTTTGTTCTTCAACCTGTGAGTTGAACATAAGAGGGATATAACATGTAATGATGTAAAGCTTCAACCTCTGCCCCTTTTATGAAATTATTGTAAGTAGGGGCAGAGAGGCAAACTATTCTTGCAAATTGGAAACATAACTAAAAGAATGTTTATTAAATAACATCAGACTGCATATGATGATATGAATGCTTTTCTTTGAAACAGTATATTCTTTTGACTATATATATATATAATAACAGCAATGCATATCATTCATAGTTGCCTGGCACAATCTGTCTGACAGCCATTTGTTTCTTCCCTAAGGTATTCTTGATGACTCCATCTCCGAGAGTAAATGAAGGGGACAGTGTCAATGTTTCTTTCTCGATGGTTCGCTCGAAAGAGAATCACCGGCTTATGGATATGGATATCACCTATGAACTGCACGAGGCATCTGGAAGGAAGCTACCAGCAGTCGCAACCAAGATTTTCTTAGAGTAGAGCAAGGTTCGGTTCGCAAAACTGCAATATGCTTTTGAGTTATACCCATTCAGTTTTTAGCGTCAAGGTGCACAATACATTTGGGATGAAGCACTTTCATTGATCGCTGAATACCAGGATTTAACCTAATCTTGTTTTTTCTGTTTCAACAGATCACTGACTGGATCTGACTCAGTTGATGGGATGTCGGGGCATCGTGTGCTATCATGTGTTGTGCTGCCGTATCAAATACCTTGCCCACAGTCATTGGTCCCCGGTGTGTTTGTTTTTCATAGTATGGCCTAATGGCCAACCTTTGTGTAATACATACTATGCCGGGTGTGTAACAGTGATACCATGAGGCATGATCAAGTGCCAGAGATTTTGTTTGTTGTATCAGTAATTTATTATTGTCATTTGATTGGTTGAATGGTTCGGGCTGTTGCCTCTAGATTAGAAGTTGGTTTTCCATGCCTGTGACTTGAAGTGCAACTTGGGTTCACTGAATTTTAAAGAGAAGATGGAACCAATCTGAGTTGTTTTTAAAGAGAAGATTGCTTTGACTTTTGATAGTAATCAACATTGACAGAAGTTAAGGTGTTTCTGGAGACGAAAACTGCTCAGCATTTTATCTGATGTTCTGTAAGTTATTTAAAAAATCCTTTCCTGTTGACATTAAGTATGGAAGATTCCGAAGTGGCAGCATTATCATTCTGAGTGCATTTTGTATTTTTGTCAGAGATTTTGTTTGTTGCATCAGTAATCTATTATTGCCATTTCATTGGTCGAGTGATTCGAGCTGTTGCCTCTAGCCGTTGGTTTTCCTTCCAATGCCTGTGATGTACTACTAGTAACTTCTGTGCAACTGATGTGTTTGTGCTCACTACTCCGAACCTTATCGTTTTCACAGTGCCTGCCTAGCTGGTAGCTGCTACTGACCGAACTGTTTTTGCAACTGATGTATTCCCTCCGTTCGGAATTACTTGTCGTAGAAATGGATGTATCTAGATGAATTTCCCTAAAAAAAATTTGGTTTGAATTTTGATAGAAGTATGGGTTTTCTTGCCTAGATAGAAATAAGGTACTTGTGGATGAACTTCTGCACTGGCAGTGGCAGTAAATTTATGTATTCCTCACATTCTGAGTGCATGTGTCAGTTCACTTGCTAATACTCAGCTCAGTCAGTAGCACAGCTAGGCAGGCACTGTGAAAACGATAAGGTTCGGACCAGCCAAGCCCGGCAGCCACAGCCCACAGCCTTCCCCCTCTCCTTCCTCGCCGCGCACCGCCACCCCTCTCTCCGGAGCTCGTCTCCTCTCCTCGCCGGCGCCGCCACCCCCCATGCTCCTCCCAATGCGCGGCCTCCCGGCCGCCCCTCACCGCCCGCTCGCCCACCCTCACACCGCCCCCGCGCCGCCGTCGCCCTCCCTCCTCGGCCCCCGGCGCCGCCGGCCGTCCCGGAGGCTCTCCAAGGTCGTGTCCTTCTACGGCCTCACGACCCCGCCGTACAAAACCGTAAGCACGGCCATCTTATTCTTACCTCGCCCGGATCCGCGCGCCGCCGCGCCATTAAAGAAGACGCCACCTTCAGCTTCTTGTTCTTGCTCGTTGCAGGACGCCCTGGAGCCGTACATGAGCAGGCGGGCGGTGGAGCTGCACTGGGGCAGGCACCAGCAGGGCCACGTGGACGGGCTCAACAAGCAGCTCGCCATCAGCCCGCTGTACGGCCACACCCTCGAGGACCTCATCAAGGAGGCCTACAACAACGGCAACCCGCTGCCCGAGTACAACGACGCCGCCGAGGTGATGCCGCACACCGAGATTTCATCTTCCTGGCAGTAGCTTTCAGCTTGATTGACTGTTGCAGACAGATAGCTGAAACAGAGGAGGGGATGCTGCTGTACTGTACTAGTATTTGGTTGCTGCAATTCTGAACCTGTGTGTTATTTTGTGGTGTGTAGGTCTGGAACCATCACTTCTTCTGGGAGTCGATGCAGCCGGAAGGCGGCGGCTCGCCCGAGGCGGGCGTGCTGCAGCAGATCGAGAAGGATTTCGGCTCCTTTTTTAATTTCAGGGAGGAGTTCATGCGCTCGGCGCTGTCGTTGTTGGGGTCCGGTTGGGTTTGGCTTGTCTGTAAGTCTCCCTTTACTACCATTTTCTTTCTAATACAGACAGGCAATATCCGTCTGAAAGTCCGGTTAATGTCCATGCACAGCTGAATGAATGTTTTGCGTATTGCAGTGAAGAGGAGCGAGAGGAAGCTCGAGGTGGTTCACACGCGAAATGCTATCAACCCACTTGCTTTTGGAGATATTGTATGTTTGCTCAACCCTTTTCTGTCGAGTTATACGAGACATTTCCAGTTTTAATCTTTGCAATGATGTTCCGTGTCTTCTTCTCTTTCAGCCAATCATCAGCCTAGACTTGTGGGAGGTAAGGGAACTGGAGAACCTCTGTTTAGATCCTACCATGCGCCATGTACTGATGTTTCTCTTTATCCTTTTCAGCATGCTTACTACTTAGATTACAAGGTACTCTGCTAGATCCCCTTTTTCTGCTTGCTATCAAAACTTTAAAAGTTAAGTACTACTCCCTCCGTTCGGAATTACTTGTCGCAGAAATGGGTGTATCTAGATGTATTTTAGTTCTAGATACATCCATTTCCGAGACAAGTAATTCCGAACGGAGGGAGTACGTAATATACCTGAAAACCGCTCTGGTGCTTTTTAATGATGTAGGATGACAGGCGAACGTATGTGTCAAACTTTCTGGATCACCTTGTCTCTTGGCATACTGTCACTCTACGCATGATGCGTGCGGAGGCTTTTGTGAACCTTGGTGAACCAACTATCCCAGTGGCATGAGATGATACGGATATGACCTGGAGTTGTCTCTGAATATGTCCATCTCACGAGGTAATACATTTTGCAGCATCATACTTGGCATATGCGCAGCTTAATCATGCCCTTTGATCCCTTGAGCGCGAGGTGGTATATAAATAATCAATCCAGGGTTTAAGGCATCAGTCCCCTATTATGTTCCTTTTTCTAGCTATGTGGTAGAGTAAGTAGTAGCATTATACCTGCCATATTTGCAGCTTAGTCAAGTAATATACCATTCGACTCCCTGTGCGTGAGGTGGTATATTATAAATAATAAAGCAGGGTTCAAAGCATCAGTGCCTTATTATCTCTCTTTTCCAACCATGAGGTAAGTGGTAGCATAGCAGTACCAGCAGTTCTGCCGCATTGTTACAAGGGATGTTGATATACCATGTAATGTTTGCACTTTCTGCACAAGTGACAGTAAAGCTTCTCTTGAAAAGCTAGCACATACAGCAATATTGGGTTTCAGACTAAGGCACATACAGCTGGGAACGTCAAGGTAGAATTGACTCGACGCTGTTTCTTTGGTTGAGGTAGGGAGTAGGAAGCATGCAGCTTGGAGGCCAGAGCAGAAAAACATAGTGAAATTTCGTTGCATCTCGGTATTAGAATGTCCAGGGGTATATGTAGCAGGTAGGGTTGTGTTCTGTTGTTTCTTTTTCTTTTCTTTTTGGGGAGTGTGATTGCTTAGTTGTCTAACTGGAGGTGGAGAGAGTTTGGGTTTCACAGTTTATGTAGGAGACAAGATGTCCCAAAGTACCCTACCTCGTTCTTTCTCATGAACAACTACTAGCGGTGTCGCCAATATGGATATATAGCCTTGAACTTTACTAGCGGTATCATTTTATCTGTGTGAATTACTTCTTAACTTCTTAAAATGGTAGACACAAGTACCTTTTGCCAGTAGTAGCAGTAGTAAGTTGAACTTGAAGAAAAAGTTGAGTAGTTTTTCTGCTGGGCCTTAGTTTTGCTTCTGAACTTAGTTAATCTACCACGCCCTATTAACAAGAAACTTCATTGAGGTTCATTTTTTGAAAAGTAATTTGGGAGGTTATATGAAGTAAGATGGAGGTTTTGTGTAAGGTTATCCTTTAACATGGACTCTCAACCTGCCACATCTTCTGAGTCTTGTAGCCATAATTACTATTTTGCGGGGTTTTGGCCACAATTACGCATCGTAAGCATCACACTATACTATATTCTAACAACAAAATGATTAAACATCACACCCTGCTATATTCTGACAGCAAAATAATCAAACATCACACCATGCTATATTCTGAAACACAAAAGATAAATCATATCATTGAAGAATCCACTAGACCTATTGCTTTCAGGCTTTCCATGTCCTGCACTGAGCTATTTGATGCAATGTTCTTGCACCCCATTCCATGTCCATCGCAATCCCCAAGGCCCACGATAGTTTTAAACATGCCAAGTGGTCTGCTCGTCTTCCTTCCGTAGCAAGAGGCAAAATGTTCAGGCCTTCTAAAATATCTTGATTCCTTTTTTTCGTCCATTTGTCAGGGACGCCAAGGAAAATCCTGAACCACATCCTACTTGATGAGACGGAGAGTTTGCGGGGGGCAGCGTGATGTAACCACGTCATGCGATGCACGGTGAACAAGTAAGCTCTGCCTGAAGATAAGACAGCTGAGGTTTCGTCGTTGTCCTCGTCCGTCGCTACGGGGAAGGGACCTCCAATTTCAAGTTATTATGCAGTAAAAGCAGACATGGACGCTTCAGAGCACGGGGACTTGACTTTAGAGTACGCGCTATCGATTTAACTTGTGCTTGAAGCCACGGAACTTTATGTCTTGAGAACAATCTCCCATAGTGCTGTTAGAACAGCCCCTAGTTTTCCATGGCTTGTAGTCACAGCTTTTCATCATTCTGTTGTAACAGAATTCAGCCATTGTGCGCTGAGGCACATTCCCCCATGAATGTTTTGCCTTGCTCAAACATACTCTTCTTTTTCATCAATAGTTGCCTGGGCATATTATCCTCTCTTTTCTCCGCCCGATTCTTCGGAACATATGGAATGGTCTCTGTGCAGCCACGGACGACTTTTTTAAACTTCACAGATCTTCTCTATGCTCGTACCTTTTTGACGGTTGAACCAATGCCTTTTTTTTAAGCAAAAGTATTAGGAAAAAGTTGTACTGTGTCGACGGTTTGCAAAAAGAAAACCAGCGTACTAGTGGTTGGTATGGCAGGTTAATCTGCTCAACCAACCTATATCGTCCACAACAGTATGGGGAATCATTAGTAGGCTGCACATGTTCATTCCAATTTTCAGATGATTTCAGAGACGAAAGGAAAACAAATAGGAAAACGACGGAGTGATTTGGTGAGAACCATAATCTGATGCTAATCAAATTAAAATGGTAGAGCAGTAGCAGCAGCAACAATACAAACCATGATGGATGACCACATGGACAGATAGTATTATAGCAACTTCTGATACACTTCTCATGGAGCTAAGACACTAGACACATATGCTTATTATGAAAGGCGGCGGCGGAGGCCGGTCGACCTCCGCTGCGCCTTGCGGCCTCCGTCCATGGCGGCCTGGTTTAGTTGCAGCAGCAGCAGAGGCAGTCGAGGCAGCACTCGCAGGTCTCATAGCAGCAGAAACAACACAGCGCCGTGAACACGCTGCAACCCAAACACCCAAATTATGTCAGTGAAACAAAAATAAGAAAGTCATACTGTAGAAGGGAAGAATGAATAGAACACAAAGGAATTAACAGGAACTAGTTCTAGGGGAATCAGTCCCAAAATGTTCCTGCCCTGTCTCTATGATTTCTCTGAAGATTTTTCAGATGGCAGAAGAGCTTTATCTCTCTCTCTCTCTCTCGGCCTCTGCATCGACCGATGCACACGGCTGAGAGATCTCTAAATCGGCAACACGAGGAGAGCAAAACTCAGAGGGAGAGCGAGCGAGTGGATGAACAAACTCTCTCTCTCTCTCTGTGTGTGTGTGTCTCACCATGCGTAGATGCAGCCCTTCTCCTCGTGGCGCTTCTGCACGTGCTCCGTGTAGGACATCTCCTGCCCCGACGGAGCGTTGTACATCTTGGCAAAGGGTGGAGTGGGTTACTATGGAAGAAGAAGATACTCTCCAAGGATTCTGCTCTGCTCTCCCGTGGCCGGCTTTGGGAAGATGTAGGATTGGAAGAGGAAGGAGATGTGGGTGGGGTTTTATAGGCTGGGAGCGCAGCTGCACCTGCGCCATAGTTTTTTTTCTTTTCCTACTCATCAGTCACCACCTAAGCACAAGTGGCAACGCTGTTTTGTAGTACTCCCTCCGTTCCTAAATATTTGTCTTCCTAGATATTTCAACAAGTGACTACATACGAAGCAAAATGAGTGAATCTACACTCTAAAATATGTCTATATACATCCATATGTGGTAGTTCATTTGAAATCTCTAAAAAGACAAATATTTAGGAACGGAGGGAGTACTAACTAACACAGCTCGATGGGCCCAAGCGTCGGTGGCCATGGTGCACACACAGTTTGTCTTTTGTAGGCGTGGAACACGGCTTTTGTGCTAGTCGACCTCTGGAAATCATAGAGAAAAATCTCTCATAACTCCCAAATTGAACGGTTTAGTTGCTACATGAGATTTTGGTTTTCTAGTAAATGGATTTTTTTTTGCGGGGGAGTAAATGGAAAAAATAGAGAGGGTTGAACTTGGTCTGTCCTTGTTTTCTCCATTTCGCGCCAACTCGGACCAGTCCGGAGTATCCTGTGCTTGTCTTGGTGGTTTCATTGTGAATCCCGACTTTCTTTTTGAATGAAGAGAGGATTCCTAGCTAGTGTAGTTGGGTGGTCAGTTCTGAGGGGCTGGAATAAATCCACCACCTATCGATGAGGACTATGAGGTCACGGCCCATGACCATGATGGGTGTGTGTGTGTGCATGCCGTGCGTGTATGTATGGTGGGAAGGAACAAGGCCAATTTGCCTCGGTCACCACTAATTATTAATTAGCCTGCAAAGTTAGCTACTACGGCCTCACTATCTGCATATCTGTTCTTAGTGCAAGCATCACATCATGCTTCAGAAAAGGTTCTACTCCCTCCGTTTCTGTCTTTATAAAGGCTTCACTATGGACCACATACAGATGTATATAGATGCATTTTAGAGTGTAGATTCACTCATTTTGTGCCGTACGTAGTCCATAATGAAATCTTTGCAAAGACTTATATTTAGAAACGGAGGGAGTATATACATGATGGCTGCAGATCATATCTTACCACGCGTAGAGGCATCCCTTCTCCTGGTGGCGCTTCTGCGTGTGCTCGTAGTAGGACATGCCCTGCGGTGGCGGAGGGTTGTTGTACATCTTGCCGCCGGCCGGCTGGGCTCCTCTCCTCTCTCCGGCTAGATTTAGATCTCTTCTACCTTGTCTAGTTCTTGTGTGTATGTAAGTAAGATTATTATTGCATATTGCATTCGGATGGGTGTATTTATAAGTCAGGGGAGGTCCAACACTTGTCAAAGCCTAGCTGCCAAGTGTACATTCACGTCCGAATGCATCTTCTGACATAAATTTCAAGTATCCTAATGGAGACAAAAAAACGGACCTCATTAGTTTCCTTCGACCCTAAGGTTTCTAATCTGTCAGCTACCTAGTGCGTTTCCCATTGAATTGATTCACTACACTGCCATATTTGACCAGAAAGGGTCCAAAATAAGACGTCCAACATTTGTCGATGCCCAACATTAATAGGGCAAGGGATGTCCAACATTTGTCGATGCCCAACGACAAGTGTAGATCATATCTGAATTTACTAGTATCTTCTAAACATAAATTAGAAGTATCCTTGGGGAGACAAAAACAGGACTTGATTGGTTTCCTTCGCCCTGAAGATTTCTAAATTGTCATCTACCCACTGTAATTACCATTGAGTTGAGTTACTACAGTGCCCATGTTTGACTGTCAAAAGTCCAAATTAAGAAACAGACCATG